TTTATAGTTAATTTATAATGCTTTCAGTAAAAATGCCATAAAAAATGAACGATTCAATATTTTTCCAATTAGATCTTATTTAAATTCATCAAACAGTTGCCTCTATTACATACGTGAAAATGAGCCAAGTCAGAGAATTCTGATTGAGCTCTATCCTAGAGAATCGGCTGCGGGGCTTATATGGAATGGCTCATATTTCCTATATTGAGATCTTTATACCAATACTTGTGGCATTGATATGATCCAATCAATATCGAAATACTTAGTATTGTTCTAGCTATACATTGTAAAACAAATCGTAGAATAATAACCCCTAGTACTTTATGAAAGTCTTCCTAAACCCGTAAAGGATTTTTGAACGGAAGGGTTTCTGAGAACAAGAATATCTGAAAAAAAATGTGTAATTATTTCTTTAATTTAGATTCATTGCAACTAAATATGGAAAGCTGTGTTAAACGTCGATTTGGAACATCAACTTCTTCTGACAACGTTTTCCTTCACATAATAACGACGAACTTAAAGAACTATTGGTGTCATGGTCTACAATTGTCCATGTTCCTCTAAGGAAGAACAAATTCGAACTGATTCGAATTAAGCGCCACTGGCCGTGTAGACTGCCAAACAATCTATTTTGACAAACCAAACTTTCCTCTGAAGCTTCATTTGAATCAGTTCGAATTCGCTCTTCCTTAGGAGAACATGGACAGTTGTACGCCGTGACATCAACAGTTCTGTCGGTGGGCTGTTTTCATATGAGGGGAAACACTGTCAGGCAAAACCGATAACCGTGAAAATCGGTCTATATGATAAATCAATTTCATATACATTTCTTAAACTCTGGAACGAGTACTTGAAACTGCAACATATGATGAACCCTTAAAGGGTTTATTGATTTCCTAAACCATTTATCAAGTCCTTAAAAAGGGTTTAGGAAAATTTTACATACAGTGAAAGGAGTTTATTACACGTTACACTTTCAAAAACCCTTTTACGGTTAATTATTCTAGGGATTATTTTTACAGTGTATTCACTCCAAGGGGGAAACACTGTACTTTGTACTTTATGGTACTTTAAACTACTTCAATCTACTTTAAAGGGTGTGGGTGTGGATGAGTGTGAGTGTGGGTGTGGGTGGGTGTGTGTGAGTGTCGATGTGGGTGTGGGTGTGAGTGTGAGGGTGCGTGTGGGTGTACTTCTTCAAGTTGACCACACCCACACCCACACTCACCTCTTACTATGATTACAGTAGTCGCAAAAAGAAATTATCTTTAAAAGATGCACTAGGAAACGATTACTATTTATTTGATTGTCTCACTGACACAAAGGGAAATCTTGTATTTCATTTTTTTCTTAGATAAAAGTCAACTCATAGGTTCAGCACTACTATGTTCTATAAAAACGTTCTCAAATGGACATTTTCAAAGTCAACCATATAGACAGGTGTAAAAAAATGGATGCGTAGCGTAACTATGGTGTTAACATTTCATCTCAGCAGCCAAGATCTACGGAAGAACATACCGGGGCCAGTTTTGTCCTCATTTGAGGATGTCTTCAGGATGTGTGGGTGTGGATATTTTTCTCAGCTCATTTAGACAGTAGCACTCGCATTCTTCGAATTCTCTCTAGCTAGAAGTCGATTTTTTCTATTGAGATATTTTTTTACTTAGCTGTTCGAGTTTTTCTTTGCTACAACTGAACTTAATTAATGAGGAAACGTAGTTTATTTGATAGGATCGAGCTATTTCACTGATGTTTTATTTCAGCGAAAAGATTTGAGTTATCTCATGAGATAACTGGAATTGCTCACTAAAACACATTTTAATGGTAACAAGTGCAACATTTAAATTTAATATCGTAAGCCTCAATACCTATTCTTCAAATATTTTCTATTTACCGCTACGTTTTCATGCTAAATTCATTCGTTATCACACATTTTCATTATGCTCTATAATACTATCCATATTTTCTCTGAATTCCTTCGATTCTTTTGAGCAGTATCGATATGCATGTAATGTTATAGGCAATCTCACAACTCTTTTGCAGTTCTTTTGTAGAAAATAGAAGGCAATTCCCATTGTTAGACGGAAATGCTGTAGTTTAATTTTTCTTTTCAATTGAATTAGTTGAGAAATGAAATGAAGGTATTACGATTAAAAAAACAACCTAAATCACGGCCTAAATCACACGGAATGCGGGTGGATTTGATTACTTGATGATGTCACTGCAAAAAGGGAGTTACATACCTGGGCAAAAACTTATTAAGAAGTGTTTTCATCGTATCAATTTAGCACATTGACTAAAACTTGTGTAAAGCTTTGAAAGCAAGACAAAACCACTAAATTAAACTGTTTCTTCTGCAACTATATGAATATTTTGACAAGAGACTCTCTCCATATATATTCAATGAATAATGTTTCAATACATAATCAAATTTGCTGAAATACGAATAGACAAATGCAAAATGATTCCTATATCTTGCTTCAGGAGTATATCACGTAAGTATCGTATCGGTTGATGGGAGAAAGTGTGACAGGATTCGAATCTTGATATTGACTTACATATCTGAGATATTTAGTGGTGGTTTCTCTCTTTTAAACACGTTGATACTTTATGAAGCAAATTTTACCTTCTAACAACACGAGCCTTGAAAATTTAAATTTTTTTTTTGATTTCTCATTTTTGAGCATTGATTCATCAATGAGTGAACACTTCTTATGTAACTTCCAAGCGGTTAAAGAAACGACAGTGTTCCAAAAAGAAAGAGACTGAAATTAACATAAGGTTCATCAAATTAGGGTGTGGATATGAATGATGAAAAAAGGTCCACACCCACACCCTATATAAATGGTGAGTTTTACATATTAAGATGAAATTGGTGTCCTATGATACCAAGGACAAAATTAACGCAACTTGTATTTTTGATGGATATTTTCATGAATAGTCAACAAGAAACAACACCAGGTTTTCTGAAACCTTTGTTGTCCGTAGAATTTTGTAAAGCTCGTTATGCTGATCATTTTGATAAAAAAAATATTCAGATTTACTCAATAAATAACACTACTACGGTCAAAATATCCAACACGTTCGACTATTCCTGACTGCTGCAGAGCAATAGTTAATGCTTGCGAATATTTTTGATCGTAGTAACGTTATTTATTGAGTAAATTTGAATATTTTTTTACCAAAATGATCAGCGTAACGAACTCTACAAAATTATATGGACGAAAAAGGTTCCAGAAAACCTTGCGTTATTTCTTATTGACTATTCATAAAAATATCCATCAAAAATACGAGTTGCGTTAATTTTGTCTTTGATTGATAGATACACATTTTGGACAAAACTAACGATAATAGTTCGTAGCACGAATGAGCTACTTTGGTTTTTATAAGTCAATATTAATATAGGTGATATTAGCATCAGAAAGACTAGCATGGACGGATGAAAAACTATCTAGAACAGTATTTTTTTTTTGTTCTCATGGCATTGCCATACACAAGAGACATGAGAAAGACACCAGTGAAAGTTAAACAACAAATAGTTCTTTCTGGCTTGTTCTATTCTATCAGAAGAAAAGCATTCATTCGTCTAATCAACAGCAGATGCATTTCTCCACACTGACAACTATATAAAACTCTTACGATTGATAAATGAAAAAGATTCTAATTTATACTGAATTAAAGCAAGATAAGAAACGATAATGGAATGGTCTTTTTTCTAGAAATCTCTCTTTTTCACTAACACACACTATTAAAAGAGTGATTTCCATAGAAATTAAGGCTATAATGATATCTCAAAGAAAAATGACATCGGGTTGTTACAACTTGCCCCTAGGTATCGTTTGAAAAACAATCGGATAAATGATAAAACAACCTAACAAATAATATTTGCATTTAAAACTTGATCTTTATGTTTAAATTTGTGTTGAAAAATCATAGTTTTCAATTTTTTCAGGTACTTAAGTAATATTTCTGTGATATTAATGAGATGAACTATTTTTTTTTGATTTGGTGCCATGCGAAAAAAATCGAGAAAGGTGCTGACGCGTGTGAGTAGGTATAGTTGTGAGTGTCGAGTAAAAGAAAGATAACACTTTATTTCATGTGGGGAGCTTAGATTTGAAAAGAATAAAACCCTACACGTCTTTCTATTGTTTTTACAGTACTTCACTCGATCTTTTCAGTTACTGGTTTTTTTTTATACAGGTAATGGAGAAATTTTAGTTATTTTTTTTTTTTGTTCTTTTCAAACATTGCGAGTAATAAAGGTAATAACTATGAAATTTCATTTGTATTGTCTTCTTTTTTGTCTCCGTCCATATTGTTTTATCCTTTACCGTTTCAAAACTAGTCCAGTCAAGTCGAGCTATTTTTTGATATTTTATCGTCCTCTGCTTATGCTTATAAAGAGCGTCAACAATAAGGTTTTCAATACATCAGATGTAGCTCTTAATTTTTCACGAAAAAGCCAAAAAAGATACACATGAAATAAAATAACACAACTTATCTAGTCTAATCAATAATATAAAAACAGTGATATCAACTTTTCTCTTGTACAGTGCCAAACTGTAGTAAAAAAGAATATAATGTTTTTATTAGCAAAAACCTAGTCTTAAGCCTGTTTCCAAGTAAAAGGTAGTTACTGCCATTTAAATTACATTGCCTATTGCAATTAAATGATGACGGAGTAGAAATGTTAGCTTTTCTAAAATGTAAAAACATTCAATCTGACAGAAAGAACATGGAAAAAACCTATGTTCATCTGGTACAAATCTGTGGGTGTGGGTGTGATTTTTCAGTTCACCCACGCACCCTCACATCAGCTGCGTGTCATTTCTAATGTGCCGTTGACTTTCACACACAATCTTGCCTCTAAACGTGAGAAATTGGTTAAATAAGCCCCAGTCGCGATTGAAGTTTTTTTTCTATTTATTGTATTAAAAGATTAGTGTCAAGCGTTAAGCGTTATAAAAAAAGAAAATTTTTAATCAGTACAGTTTAAGTTAGGCACCTATGAATGCGATGTCTCGACCAATGCCTCTTGTGACTAAGTCGGTGAATTCAGCCAAATTAAGTTTACCATCAAAATTTCTGTCAACTTTTTGAATATATTGACGTAGAACTTTTGGAGGCGCCCTAGGTACAATGACTGGCATAAACGCTTCGAGTTCATCAATATCGATTTTATTGGAATAATCGGTGTCGAGTATACGAAATGCTTCAGCTATATCATCGGCTGCTTCTTCACCCAACATGAATGGTCGCAACACTTTCAACCATTTATCAAATGGTATTACCGTTCTCAAGGTTCTTCTTGCTATCCGCTCATACTCGTCTCGAGGAACTTTTATATGATACGAGCGTCTTCTACCAAAACCAACATCTTCTTCGTACAAATATTCGGCTAGTACAGTTTTTCCGGCTTGTCGATGCAAAATTTCATCAATACGAATTTGATTACGTCCGGGCATTATAAAACAAACTTGACCATATCAGTTAGAAAGATAAATCTTGTCCGAATTATTACTTACCGACTACAACTTACAGAATGATCAATCCAATTGAATTTCACTGTTGTTATTGTTGTTGCTCAGACAAAATAAAATGTAATAGCATACAACGACGTTGATTTATATAGTTTGCCATTCACCTTGGAATGTTGTTGACAATTTTTGGTTTCAATATGCGTCGATCACTTCGGTGACTAGAGAAGGGAACGAAAAATATATTATGAAAGTATTGGTGTGAGTATTACCCATTTCAATCAATAGCGGTAAAAATATAGAGGTTTACTTTTTTGGCTTCACGCAAAGTATTGACACAGTCGTAGGAAGAAATTTTTTTCTTATAACTATTTTTGGTTTTGGCCACTGAAATTGTCATAGAATAGAAAAAAAAAAGAAACCATACTTAATACAGTTCTGATCAAAAGAAACCGCGGACACTGGATTCTGGGCTCCTTACGCTGTCGTGGGCTAAAACTTCATAGGAACAACTTTTTAGCTAAACTCCGATCATTGACACCAACAAAGAAAAAGAGTGTAAGTGTGGCTTTGAGTTATGCTCGCATCCCACATCCATACTTCACACCAATACCCACACTACATTCCCACCAAACCACACTAACACCCCTTCCACACCCATAACTACTGTGAGGCACATTGATTTTGTTGAATTTCTCGTTAATTTTAACATATAGACAGAAAAAAAAAACGAAGAACATACTTGTATGTCTTCAATTTTCAAATTTTGTATATTCATTTGCATGCCATAAATAGACTGTAGAGCAATAGAATTGGTCTTGTGAAAAAAACAAATCAAAAGAATATAGTATTGTTTCGAGTAATATATGCATATGAATTAATGGATTGTGTGATTTATAACCCATCATTTTTGCAAAAATTTCGAAATCGGCTTTTATTCAATAGAACCACATCTTTGAACAACAGAAGCAACAATTTCGACAAATAAAAGACTTGTCTACTCTTTCGGTGGCCTAATTTCTGCGATGCTGAGTGTGGGTGTTATTACAAGCCAGAGATGTCCATCGCGGCTGAAAATCTGCCGCTGCCGCGCCGCGGCCTTAGAAAAAAAAAGCTGCCGCACCGCTGCCGCGCCGCGACGGTTTATAAAAAAATGTTGCCGCGACGCTGCCGCACCGCGATGACTTATAAAAGAAACGCTGCCGCGCCGCTGCCGCGCCGCTGCCGCGATGAATTATAAAATAAACGTGCCGCCACCGCGCCGCTGCCGCGACGGTTTTCAAAAAAGTGTTTCTAATTTCACTGCTGTGACTATATTTGACCAGAGATATGGGTACTAGTCCATCATATTTATTCAATATCAGGGTGTTTCATTTGTAAATCCTGAAATTCTATTAAATTCATACAGTTTTTCAATGTCCTCCAAAAAAATCCTGCCGCTGCCGCGATGGTTTTTAAAAAAATCTGCCGCTACCGCGCCGCTGCCGCGATGACTTTTTAAAAAATCTGCCGCTACCGCGCCGCCACCGTCACCGCGGCAGCGACAGCGGCAGCGCCGCGATGGACATCTCTGTTACAAGCCTGATTTGTTTTTACACCCACACCTCACCTCATACCTACACCCCACACTCACACCCGCATCCTCCTATATATTCCAAGAAGAGAAAAGAAAAAATCCAACGAAGAGAACGAAAAAATGGGAAAAAAAAATAAAATAAAATTTTTGAAAAACTTTGGGTTGTAAGCCACAAGATCCGAATAAATCAAAAATACATTGAAAGAAGAGAATTCTGTTTTGGTACCATTCGTTTACAGTTATGATCGGAAGCTGCATGATAGCAGTTATTAGAATGGAGTTTTAATGTTGCTCTCTTTCTAACTTTTAGTTCTTTAAAAGTTTTTACTGTTTTTTGATCTATTTTATACGTGTAGGATACAAATAAGGTTTATTCATATGTGACAATGCCTAGAAAATCACAGTGTTCAGCACTATTCATACCTTACAAAGAGCTTGATCCTTAGTCAAATCAAATGAAGCGGCTCAGTAATGAGAATAACTGTCCAGTTTATCAACCGAATTCCAGCAGAAGCATTTCTCACATTGGCCAAGAGCAATTCAGGCCATCAGATACGACTCAAATGGTTTGATTGAATGTTTGAGGAGCTGTCAATACTCGAAAAAACACCTAAATTAACAAAATCACAAACATAAGCATACAGTTTAAATAAGCCGTTTCTTTTATACATTGATCATCATTAACACTAACAATTTTGAATGTACATTGTCAATTAAAGAGTACTTCTAGCTCTTGTGGAAATTGACTATATTCAGTTATGTTAGCAAATATTATTTTTCCCATGGATGAATCAATATCAATATCGAGTATTATATTAACAGCATATATGTTGACCATTTCCAATGATTCACTGGTAGAGTAATAACCATTAAGTGACATAATATTAGTTGAGCACAATGATAGACTTTGGTGAGTTCAAAGAATTTTTGATGATTGATCTTGTTCCCATTTCAATTTCAGGCTAGTAGAATGATCACCGATAAAAAAATTTAAATCTAATAATCCATTGCTATTTTCTGCTCCAATAAATCTATTTATCAATGTGTACAAAAATGAATCTCTTATGTACTATTCAATTGTATATTTTGATTGATAATTTTTTTTTGAATTCATCAGTATCAGTGTTAATCAAAATCTCTTTAAGTAAAGAACTCCATAAAAAAAAAGGGTCGGTTCTAAAGGTAAGTTAGAAATCGATTCCTGTTCATCGTTACTCAACAAATGAAATTTCATCGATTGCTTCTTATAAATACCTATGTTTTTACAACATATATACATATTGCATGAATCTGCTCTTTACTATTTAAAAATGGTAATAAATCAACAGAAACATGTTCAGACTAGGGGTGGCACTTTATCTTTACTTTATCAAGTAAAGTAAAGTAGAGTTGCTTTACTTTACCGATAAAATAAAGCAGATTAATTTTACTTTACTCAGTAAAGTAAAGTTGAGTTACTTTACTTTACTCGTTAAAGTAAAGTTACTCTACTTTACCCGAAAAGTAAAGTAAAGTAAAGTGAAGTATCTTTAACTTTACCATACAAGTAAGATGAATTAAAATAAGATAAAGTAAAGCATGTAGTTGATGATTTAGTCGACGACAAAAGTCTTGCCCGTCTTGATATGAATTCTTTATTTGATTTTTGACGTATGAGGATAGAATACAGCACATATATATATATACAAAGGGGTTCGAGACATTTACGCAGTACATATCAGTTTTATAAGTGTCTGCTTCTTCTTTGAGCAAAGTAAAAATATGTGAATACATCCATTTTTGGATGACCTGTTAAGAGATGAGATGGCTAGTGTGAAGTGAGTTCAAGTTTGTAACTTTTGACCGTTCAGAAGGAAGAGCTTTAGCTATGCTTCATCAACGGACAATACCAAGAACACTGAGCACGAAATTTTGAATTGTAATTCATTCACCAGAAATTCGTCAGCTCAAAATTTCAGTTTCATATCATACAATTCATCTCATCTCTGAACAAGTCATCCAAAAATGTATGTATTCACATTTTCTTACTTTGCTCATAGAAGAAGCAAACATTTATAAAACTGCTATGTACTGCGTAAATGTCTCAAACTCCTCTGTACATATATGTGTTGCATTTAATTCTCATACGTCAAAAATAATATAAAAAATTCATTTCAAAGCGGGCAAGACTTTTGTCGTCGACTAATTATTGATTTATTAGTTTATTATCACAGGTTAATCACATTCAAATACGTCAAAAGTTTCGTCGAATTATAGACCGAAGGCCTCAAAAAATCTGAATCGAATTTTATTACTTCGAAAGGCAGCATTGAACCCTGAATATGTTGGGGTGTGGGTGTAGGTGGTTTGTAAATTGTAGGTCCAAGCGCACACCCGCACCCTACCCACTTCCACACCCCACACCCATACCCAGCCACCCACTCAAATCCACACCCACCAACACCAACATCGACTCACACCTGCATCACACCCTGGTACTATTGAATTATAAACATTTGTAATAGAACAATGACAAAAATTTTTTTTGGATACCTGAGGGGGACCCCGGGTGTGAAAAGTTGGGTTGTGGCAAAAATAGAAAATAAAATTATGAGAAATACTCAGGGTTCAATGCTGACTCTCAAAGTAACTAAATTAGATTCAGATTTTCGAGGCCTTTGGTCTATAATACGACGGAGCTTTTGACGTACTGGAATGTGTTTAACCTGTGATAATAAACTAATAAATCAATAATCATCAACTATATGCTTTACTTTCTCTTATTTTAATTCATCTTACTTGTATGGTAAAGTTAAAGATTCTTTACTTTACTTTACCTTACTTTAATTTATTAAAGCAAAATAAAGTTAAACTACCAACCCTAGTTCAGACATAATAAAAAATATTGTTTCATTTGTGAATGTTTTAATAAATTCGATAAATTGATTTTTATTTGAAAATGATAGCGCCTGATCATTGACTTTTTCTAATAAAACTTTCATTTGAGTTGTATTTTCTAAATCAATATCAATCTGTTTAGCTAGTCGGACAAGGATCTAATCTTTTTCATGACTGGACGGTACCAATATATCGGAATGATTAATACGACGTTTAAGAGACTGTAAGAGAATAAATAAATTTTCTTCGATTTTATCGTATGCACAGCAAGCATACTGTGATTGTTTTGAAAAACTTTGGTTAGAAACATATTTTCACAGTATTGATATTTTTCTTTGTGCCTCATGGCATTTTAAAAATAGATAAAAAAAAATGAGACAATACTCTGCTGTCATGCGTATCTAAACTTGTTCGAATCTATCCAGATATTAGGAAAAACTTATGATGAAAGCTTGTTTTCATTTTAAAAAATAAACGACGCCAATCTCTACTTTATTCTAAATTCAGTATATGAAGTTAGAAAATATAAGTAAGCGCAAGAGTGCATGTGTACGTCATCAGAGCTAAAAACCATGTTTCTTTATTTCGCTGCCACTTACATTCTGACTTAACTTTGCAAATTTTACTGGCAGCTTTAATCTCAATTCATTAATGTGTCAACACTAAACACTCAAAAATCGATAGTAGATGAATATTTTGCCTTTCTTATTCCATTATTAGTAGACAGAATAATGTATGTTTACTTGTTGTACTGTGTTTTTACTGTTCTTAATTTCAACACGTATAAGAGTGGAGTGAAAATGTTTGTCACTTTTAAAACAATATATTTTATTTAAAAGTTGGTAAGTTCAAAACGTACATATTATGCGAGATACGTTTGATGTTGGCGTGTTTATCAATGTTTCATCGTGACAATCACATGAAGTCTACATTCTAGCTGTTGAATACTCGATACCAAATATTTTTTAAAATCAATCCATTACTCTCTATTAAAAGCAATGTTCTCAAGGACCTTTAAAATATATTTTATCACATATAACTATCGCTTATTATTACTGTTTTCTCACATCTAATCTAGATATAGATTCGCATGCAAATTATTTTGTACGAATACACTTAGAGAAAGTCGTTGCACCACAAGCAATGACGAATTATGATATGGGAAATCACCGAAACCAAGTCATTGCCGATAGTTGGAATGTTCCTTCTAAACTGATTCGAAAAGACTTCTTTTCAGCAGTTCCATTGTTTTTCCACAATAAAGTTAAGCCTTTAATGCAATAAGAAATCATATTTTTGGGAACTTTCTGAGCAAATATTTATTTTTTTTGATTTGATTAAACGAAAAAAAATTTCTCCACATTAAGAAAAATATAATTGGCTTGAAATTCTGGGTTTTCTTTTACTTTTATTACTTAAATTGAATTTATTGACATAAACTCTTATCACTGACAAATTTTTGCACTCGATGATTTCCATAATCAACTACATAGAGATTTCCATTAAGATCAAATGATAAATCATGTGGATAACTAAGTTGATCGTATCGAGAACCCATTCCTTGCCCACCAGCTATAACCATTCCGGATTGAGCTCCACGTACCCAACGCATGATTCGATGATTATTCGTATCAGCAATATAGAGAGTGCCTAATTCATCGACAATAACACTGTATGGACTCGATAATTGATTTAAACCATTACCAAGAGATCCACCAGCAAGCATTGAAGATTGTGATGATATTACATCATCAGCTTTTATTATTCGATCACGTCTCTGCTCGGCTATGTAAATAGATTTCTTTTGATCAATGAACATAAATCGTGGACCGCTAAGTCTCGACGCAACTAGTTGCCCAATGGTCGCACCAACATCCCATTTTTTTATTTCGCCTTTTTTCCAATCAGATACATATAGTAGTCCTTGCTTATCTCTTGACATGCCAACAGGAGATGATATATCTTTGATGATTGTTTTCCCACTCTTAGCACCTGAAGACCATTGTTGAATACGTCCGTTTTCTGTATCACTAATATAGATTGATCCATCTCTATCGACGACCACATCTGATGGATGATTTAATTGATCAGTATTATTTCCACTTCCTTTTCCACCTGCAACTAGTTGACCACTCGAAGCATCTTGTTCCCATTTGACTATACGATGATTTTTCGAATCTGCTACATATATAACTTGATTGTCATCCACAAAAAGTCCCCAAGGACCATGCAATCTATTAAGTGCAGATCCGAGACCATCGCTTCTACCAGCGACAGTAGTACCATTTGTAGACCATATCGCATTTTCACAAATACCATCATTTGGTTTTGACACCAATAATGGAGCTAAATAATTAGATTTAGCAAAATGCTTACTTTGTATACATGAATTTCAGACATCATCTTATTCGATCCTTCTCTCAATTGTTGTTATTAATAAGTTTAGAAATCAATCTCTTCTTTTTTTACAAACATCAATGTTAAATATCAGCTCGGAAATATGTTTCATCAATAATATAATCATTTTAAATATACAATTTATCAATAAAACTAAGTTAGAAATGAATCAAGTTAAAGTATGATGAATAAATGATGCATGACATATACTTATTTAAGAAAGAATTTCACACTTACTAGATGTTATAGTACTTGTACTTGTCGTCATTGTAGCATTCGTCACTATATTCAAAGGGAAAATATATCTATTCAAAAGTCTTTGAGCATAAAGTTTCAATCAAATGAAAACTAGATACAAGAATATAATATCGAAAAAAAAACATGCTATTTTTCAGTAGAATATTCCAAAATCACAACTCGTGATATGAATATCACAAAGAACATATGAATATAAACGTTTTACTTATTATTGATGGACAGAATTCTTGATTCGCTTTTGATAAAGGATAACAAACAGGATGATCAAAACATCGTGGATGATGAACACAGATATGATTAGGTTCATAGCAGATATTGTCTGGAGATCCACATGATATTAATTCGGAACAAGTCAACCAAAGAAATGCACAAATGCTACTACTAATATTATTCATTGTATGAAAACATCCACATAAGCTATTCGTCGAACATTGATCATATTGAGACTTTTTATGACACGATTGAAAATTCGTATGAACTTGTATAGCTAAATGTCAATAGTTGGACACATAAAATAAAATGTTAATCAAACCTGACGAACTATAATAGATGTTGATTAAATATTTGAATGATTCAAATTAAAAGAAATCTTTAATTACCTGATAAGAATGAATATGCAATAATACTTTACCATCATGATCATGGTTTGCGTAGAAGGAAAAATGAATCCTTTTTTTCTTTATATTTCTTGCTTACGAATGATGGTTTTAGCTGCATTCTTCAATAAATAGAAAGTCGATATCATTTTTATATATTTTTTTAAATATATTTAATCCTATTTCAGAACAAAAAATACAAAACAAGCAGTAAGTATTGAGTTAATATGAAATATACAATCAGTCTGTGTAATCGTTCCATTGTGAGAAAAATAATAATTTGCAATGCAATAGTTTTAAGATTCAACAATAAAAGAAATATATTGAAAGAAATCAAGTTTTTGTGAGAAAATTACAATACAGTTACATGCTTTAGAACCTAGGTGTTGTCTGAATGATGGGTATCTTTTTTCTGCTTATCTGCATCGATCTTCAGCTATGGAAATGGACTTCGTTGAAGAAAAGCTAATAAGTGACATTCGCGATAATGCGTCGAGATTATGTAAAAATCAAAATTGAATCTGCCGCATAAGGCAATAAAATCGTTAATCTCTAAAATAACGGAGAACTTTGCATCGCATTCTTCTCTTATTGTCGTTCCAATTTGAGTGTGAGCACATTCGAAAGATGGCATTATATCTCCTAAGTGTTATTCAAGTAGGAGAAAACATTAGTACAATATAGATATCTTTATGAATCATCAGCATGACTCAAAGGTAAGAATGATAAACAGAAAGCTTTGACTAGAAACAAAACCAAAGCAAATAATATGAATGGTTAGTTTATTATTGAAACTGACTGTAGGCAATCATAAATTTGCTTTTTATTTTCGTTCCTGATATAATTGTTAGTCTTTGAAGCTGACTCCAAACATCGTTCTTTTCAAAAAAATTAATGTGTCTTCCAAAAAAAAGAAATATAGAATTTGTTGTCGATATTAGTCTTTGAATTGATTGATCTATTCCTTTATGAATGATTTTAATTTTCTTTTAAACATAAATATATTGTAATAATTCAGATATTTGACCTTATGTGTAAATGTCAGCATCAATAGTTGATAGTCAAAATCAACGGTTGAATGGCACTTTAACTTCACTCTTAGCTGTGGCCTTAGTTGGCTTTTTTCTTTTGTCATGTTTTGTTTTACGTATCTGTTGCTTTTTTTTAATGGTTGATGTTATTAGCTTGTATGATAAAGACAAGAAAGATACAACTGCCATTGTGTGGTGATGGAATTTTTCATTTCTTCGTAGTTTTTTCAGTTGATAGCGGAATGAAAACTGTCTGAATATATTGTACTACAGAGAGCAATTATTGAGTTTTAACTTTTATGATTTCGACAGTAATGCTTGAATATACCGACTCGAGTGGTTTTCCATTAGGACTAGCAAATAAGCATACGTAAATAAAAGCTACTTCCGATATTTTATTACCCTCCTTCTTCTTATTCTCATAATGACAACATCTAGAGATTAGATGAGAGTCGAACTTCTACGCTTAGCCAGTATTGAATAGAATTCATTAAATACAGGCAATCATACAAAAGTAAAGGCGATAGCGTAAACACAAAACATGTGTTTATCGTAGCGATGACGTCATTGTAAAACATGCACGATCGCAATATTATGACTCATCGCTCCTATTTACCATCGACTTGCGTGTATAAATATTTTTTTTCAAGCCGAACATGACACATGCATCAGCAACGCAATACTGATCAAGTAGAGAAAATTTCATCATCATTTCCTATACACAATAACGAAGAGAAAAAAGTTATTAATTGTATCAGTAAAGATATGTCGCTACACACCATTATTCTGGATGATCAACTAAAGCCGGCTGAAGTTTCATTTCCCTTGATTCAATCCCAGTCAACAATAGAAAATCATTGGCTCTTTAAAGTCGAAGAAAATCGTGATATTATTGCACAATCACTTCAAAACTATTCGTGTCTATATACTATTACCAATGGACCACACACCGAAATATCAGCAAATCCCATCTTACAAGCCTTTATTTCGGCCTACAATCAACACCATGATCTTATTCTTTCTCCGGATGATATGTGGATGTTAGTTTGTCTGCAATTTGCTCAATGTGTCAATCACAATGCAGAACAATTACGTTCACTTTTTGTTGAACATTCACAAGGAAAAATCGAATTGACTGTGAGCGACTTCAAACAAGAACATGAATGGGATGAATTTTTCGATCAAATGAAAGTAACCATCGGTAAGAATGTCAAAGGGGATGTGTGTCGATTGTTAACAGCAGATTTTACTACCACTGGTCGAATCGAATCAATCCTTTCCACTGCATGTATCATGCACGCATTCAAGCCTTACTTGGATTATAGCCGTATGATGTGTATCTGTGGTATTCGACAAGTACATTTCATGGGTAAGTACCGTTCATAATCGATAGTTTGATTTGAGAAAAACAGTTTGAAATCAATTTTATAGT